AAGAGTGCACATCGGCTACAGTTTGGGTTGAACTCGCAATGCATCGATTGTAGCGTCTTTGCATCGGTAAAAAAACGATTCATTCATATAATATCCTCTCATCCTGTCAGCACTCAGCAGAGACGATCTTTGATCTTTGCTTCGCACTACGGAGGCCGAGAGTCTCAGTTATCAACACACATGGAAGTCGAGGAGAAAGAGAAACACAGTGCACCGAAAAATACCTACAAATCAAACGTTTGGCAACACTTCGGATTTTTCAAGAAAGACGGTCAACTTGAAGAATCGCTCGCAAATTGTAAACGATGCCGTGCCGCTTTAAAGTACACAAGTAGTACGCGGAACTTAGCGACGCACATAAAGAGGCGACATGGGGTCTGCGGCTGAAGAGAAAACCTGAAAGTTAGACATATGAGTTAAATCACTCAGTGAGGTGTTCTGTCAGTGAGAGTGGTGTTTAGTTTACAACAGCCTGTGACTGCCAATAATAGTTTAAAGCTCCCATGTCATGCTTTTCCGGTTATTACCCGTCCCCTTGTGTGTTATGAAGGTTTTTATGCATGTAAACGGTGTGCAGAGTCAAAACCCTCAAAGTACACCCTGTAGCGAGTAAAACTCTAACACAGAAAATACCTCCCCAAAACGCCTCGTTGGAGATACGTCACTGCACATTTGAGTCTTCCATTTAGTTCCGGGTACGGCCTGATGTCATGCGGTACCCGGAACGAAATGGACCAATCCCGAAGAGCTATGGCCACACCCAGCGGCGCTGGCCGCACCCTCTGCCAGCCTAACATTTACTGTTGGAAGCTCTGGTTCAGTTCACAATCGATCCAGTCATGCCACTGCCAAGGACCTGTTTCCTGAAATGTGAGGAGAAATCTGAGCTGTTTGTCCTACCGACGGAAGAACCACGACAAAGTCAGTGGTTGACATTTCTTTTTAACACTGTTCCTTCAGAGGTTCGAAGAACCGGCATTTCACAGACGAAAGCTTCCAAAACATTGCCCAGTTTGAGGCCGGATATGCACAGCTTGTTTGGACCGTTTGGAGCAGGGGAAGATTCGGGTACACAACCTGTAAGTTTGCATTGTTATTTGTGTATTTATCAATCAAGACTGTTTAAATGTGTAAACTGTGTTGGACTGCTAAGCCATTGACACAGTGCTAACTGTGCTAACTAAGTTGATAGCGTTTCCATATATCAACTCTAATATCAGCAGATGGCCTTGCATACATGTATCTCATAGCAGGAGAATGTCTGCATTCACACACAAAATACCTATTGACAGTATATTCCGGGTGATTTGCCGTGCGGTCAGTCGCGAAACGTAATTACATTATAGCTGGCGTAGCGTGTATGCTACCGATCTAACCCACGGAGCTAGACCTAGGTTTGGTCGGAAAAACATTTTTGTTATGCTACGTTGCTAGCGTTTAAATATATCATACTATATATACTACAATGTCAGCAGATGGCCTTACATGTTTGTCATGGCAGGAGAATGTCTGCAGTCACACACACGGAATACTCATACAGTATACTCCGGGTGATTTACCGTACATTGTGACAGTACATACTGCATGTATAGCTAACGAGGCTAGCTGTATGCTAGCGCAAAACAATGTATTCATGCAAGTTACAATGTATGACCGAACGTAGCAGAATACCCGTATACGATTGCAATTATAAACACGTTATTGCTAGCCTAATATGAACCACTAGCTTTTGTTCATAGTAGTTTTATTACACTCCATTATAGTTGCCGTTCCTCCAAGCTAACGTTCATATCGTGTTAGCTACCAAGGTAAACAAAGCTAGGTTAGCATATTAGCAGGCAAGCTGTTCATTAGATAGATCCACACTCCTACCACAACTACTACTAACGAATCTAAAACAACTAAGTTTCTCTAATATTTTGTGATTTGCATTTGATTTCGTCCAGCCAGATCCTGGCGGACAATACATGACGGGGACGGGACTCTACTACTACTACTACTGAGGCCTCGTGCTAAAAGGCACCGGCTGCGCCCAGGCAAGATGCGGGGAGGAATGGATGATATACCGTGTGTATATATGTATATTTATGTTCATTTTGTACATTTCTAAAAATAAAGTTTAATGGAAATACTTAGTAGGCCTATCCTTTCTTCCCTGAATTATTTGCTCCTATAACATATCATTCATATATAGCAAACCATGATTTGATTTCTCATCAAATAGTAGTAGTTTACAGGTAAAAATAACTTACTCTTTGTTATGACCGGCTCGTAGGCCACAACGGAAAAAGGCAAGGAGACATACACGAGTTTACAAAACCACGGCACATTTATTGTGGTAAATGCAGAGATAGGTGGTCGGGGAGAGAATCGCCGGGCCGCTGGGATTAATAGCACCGGCTACGGAGGTGTCCGTGATCGCGCTGATTAGCCTCTTCAGCTCCACCCCACCATAAGACCTGCAACACACCTGCACAAAGGCCCTGGGGCCGTCACACTCTTCTATAACAACAGTTGTAGGTTCAGTTCGGTTAGTTAGCGTGTCAAATATCAGCTGTACCGACGCCATTATTACACTGATGTTCCCCGAAAAAAGCGGGCGGAGCCTCTCTGGTGGTTGACTAATCAGAACAGAGTGGCCGAGCTGACCAATCGGAGCACACTAGGCTCACAGGGAGGGGGGGCAAGAGCTCCAACGAGTCGTTTAGTGGAGAGAGTGAATACTGCTGAATACACATGCTTGACAGAGATGCTGTATGCGAAACCAATGTGAGTTTGGAAAATTGCACAGTATAAATCTATTTTAGTATACCTCAACAATGTAATTATGATCAGTGGAAATGGCCATGACATGGGCCCTTTAAATGTCTTCCTTACTGTAAGCAGTTATGAAAGACCTGTTTGTGAAAGGTTATTTGTATTCTTTATTGTTCATACAGAAACCACACCACTGCTTTCTGCTCACTGGTGAGTTAGCCTATGTATGAGTGTTAAGCACATCAGGCTGGCAGTTGTATGGGCATTGCACTATGGTAGTTGTTATTTGCACATTGTTAATCATGGGCAAGGCATCCTTTAACTGTGAGGTGTTATACAATTGTACTTTACTCTGGAGAGTTTTTTACGGTAAAAAGGGTAACAAAGAACTAGTAGAGAACCAAATATGTAAAGCACTTTTTTGTTAATCTATGATTTGCTGCATATAAGGAATAAAACAAAAATCCTCTGTCGTACCATATTGAAGTATCATTATTTTGCATCGTGTTGAATCGCATCGTATCGCCCCGTATCGCATAATGTTGAATCAAATCGTATCGAACAGTATCGCAACAGGGGTGAATCGTATCGTATCGCATCGCCTGGTGTTTCAAATGTATCGTTAATGTATCGTATCGTTGGCAACGTATCGAGATGCGCATCGCATCGGCCTTAGTGATGGAGATGCACATCCCTAATGGGAACACCTATATGAAACAGAACTGTATACATTTCAATAAAGTGTATCTTACCTTTTTTCCCATAGTTAACTTTTTTATTTTGTATTCATGCATATTTTACTAATCACTACCCCCTCAAATGGAAATATGTGTTTACATAAATGGTGACCAAACCGTTTGAGACCCACTGAGAACTTTAAGAAGTTAACTATCTAAACACTCAGAGAGTCCTTTACCTCACCTGAGCTGAGGTTATCCCGAGCTTGAATGACACACAGAGACCAATCGAGGGCTTTGATTTATGATCTGTATGACAGTGGCCATGTCGGCAGGCCAAATCATGTAGACAGCCAGTCACCCTGTGTGAGGCAGGCCACTTAACAGGCCAGGCCATCAGGAAACCCCCCGGTCCTCCCGATGGCCAGTCCGGGACTGGGTACAGGAGGCGTAGAGCGAGGGATCATTGTCCACAAGTTAATCGATCGCAGATGGCGTCGTGGACGAAAAAGAAAAAAAGAATTATTATAAAAAAACAAAACCTAAATGGGTCGCGAAATATACTTGGGCGGCCGTTAATATACCTGGGCGGCCCGCCCAAGTATAGTCTATGTGTGGAAACCCTGGAGTACTCATAGAGTCCAGTAGAGGGCTCCGCCTGTGTTTATATAACAAGGTTTACCATACGTAACCCCTCGTTTTTAGTAATGCAATGACCTTTCCTTTAGTGCTATCTTATGGACATTTAATTATGTTTACAGCTTTAAGTGGTAAGGCTGAAAGAATACTTGATATTATTTTATAGTTATATTCTAAAATGTTTGTATTTACAATGGTTAAATAAATCCAGGAATAATTTGTTACATTTAAGACAGGTACCCCTGTGACTTTCATAATGAATGAGGTTACCTCAAAGATATTTTTAACATAATTGCTCTTGTTTTGGCCTGCCCATATTTGACCTTGTTCAGTATTCAAGTTAAATCCAACAAACTATTTTCACTGTATGTTGGAGCTGACACATCGCAGCAGCATTCAACTCAACTTCCTCCTCTATCCATCAGCTCCTCTGCCCTCTCCCGTCCTCTATACTTCTTCCCTTCCTGGCTGTAGAATCAATGTCAGGATAATAAAGACAGAGTATCGATTGCAGGACATTGTCAGACTGACTGAAAGTGGAGCTTTATGAAAGGCTGTGTTGAACTGAGACTGAATGTTTGGCCTCTACTTAAACACAAAGTTTTGGGACATAAAATGGTTATTAAATATATTTAATTTCTGACATATTTCTGTTTTTGGGATAATGAGAACAGCGAGCAAATTGTCACTTTTATACTCAAAATCGATCTTAAATGTATTGGTAATTAATTTTTCGTTTTTACTGTTACTGTACTTTTAACTTATTTACTGTTATTTTCAACTTGTATCTTATTTAGCTACAGTGACCCACTTTCCTGTTGGGTCTCATTAAAATATCATCTTACGGCAATGGAAAGTTGAGTGTCTTTTCATGTTCTTTTCATGTGAGGACATTTCTTAACTCTTGTCATCTGTCTTTGTCCTCAGGTATTAAAGCCAGTGGTTAGTCCTGAAGTCAACCATGGACTGGGCAACAGGAGACTCATTAACTTTTCCTTATCAGGTAGGATAACAACATCTGTTGTTCTTTTACATTAACTTCTTAAACACTGTGTCAAATCTAAAAATATGAATTTTCACTCTTAACAATTAATGTGTCGATTGCAGTCCAGTATTCAGTCAACGTAAATTGTTTTACTGATGGGTGCAAAAACTCCCTGCCCATCAACACACCCTCCCGCACTCTTAGATCTTCTGCTTCCATCCACCTCACTGCACCACCCTCCTGCTTAACCACCATGGGCTCCAGAGCACTTCAGCTCTATGGGTACTACCTCTCAACCATACTATGCGAGCATTCACTTACTGAGATATTTATAACCGTAGCTGGCCCCCGGGGCGGGCCTACCCGAATGCGTGCTCAAGCCCACGGTATATAAGGCAGCCACGCCTCCCGTTCCCATCATCCTACACTTCTCTTCAGCGAGGAGCATAGGACAGACAGGGCCCCGAGTAGAGGGCTCCGTCTGTGCTTATATAACTAGGGTTACAATACGTAACCCATGGTTATATCTCACACAGGCTCCGCCCTCTACTGGACTCGATGGGTACAGTGAGGGCTCTGTTGGTGCACCCAAGTTGCTTGTTGAGCCGGGGTGACCGTAGCGGGGCGACACTCAGACCGAACCCCTCCTTTGTTCCCAAGAATCTAGGGAGGTCGTTCAGGTGGGCTATTCAGTTAGGGGGCTTTAAATCTGCCCCCCCCCCCCCCCTAGACATAGTGCACTTATGTTTTCCCATGCTCCTTAGGGACACGGGAAACATGGTGCGCAGTAAGCCCCAAACAGGGCTGGGGGACTGAAGAGAGTGAAAAATAGTGAGGAAGGCTCTCCCCGCCTGCCCATAGGCGGGGAGAGCCTTCCTCACTATTTTTCATGCACACTCTTCACAGGGTAAGCGTGTCTGAGTGTGGGGGACATGAGGCGCGTTCACACCAAGTACTTTTCCCACAATAGTTCATGAGAACTCAGTTCATGAGAAATCTTTTAGTTCGGATGAACTAAAGCAGATCGCGTTCACACCGAAATTAGTTCCTGGGGGTGGATTAGGCAAATGAAGCCGCTGACGTCACTTCTTCTGCTTTGGGTTTACTGGCAGGCCGCAAACAACTTCACGGCGAGTACAGTAGGTGGCGGGATGCACCTTAAAGTTGCAATCCGCCAAAAAACCGAGAGAAGAAGAAGAAGAAAAACCTCCCGCGTATACTGCCACGCCCACCTGCTGTATATGAGGCGTTTGTTTACCTTCCGACCTCAGACATGAGTTTCGTCTGAGTTATTTAAGCAAACACAAATACAGATCGTCGACCAGTCAAATGCAATAGCAATGCTGATTCGGAAGCGATGGCGGTTAAGAAGGATTGACAAAAGGATTGGACGACGACATGCACGCGCTATGGATTGCGTAACCTGTGTGAAATGAATAAACTGTGCCAGGTGTGTTGTATGCACAGTAAATAGGCTCAGCAGTTAACCTGTTTCACGCCTTCCCCCCGGTACCGGGCGGATAAACGCGTCATTTGCAGGAAACAACGTCTAAGGAATCTTAATATTGAATAAAACTATGAATGTGTTATATCCATGTAACGGGAAGAAACTCAGCTAACTGATCTTTTTAATTTTTTTTTTCAAAAAAAACCCACAATGCTAGCACTCAGCCTCTGAATTAGCCTCGACGAAAAAACGTAACCTACAAAGGCACATAAACTCACTCAGAACTCCCTTATTACTTATCCTAGATGCACAACCAAACACTATTTTTTGGTGTCCTGGAGACACTGAATCTAACGGTGCCCACCTCAACACTCAGTGATAAACATTCGCGACGCTATCAACGAAAGCGTACATCATCACATGTGGAGCCAAGAAGCTAAACATGTAAATATGGCTTACCTTGGTCAAAAGTGGTCTTCAATGGCATTAAAACGATAAAAAAACGATGCTGCAGTTAATCCATAGGTTCATCCTATGTGTCTGTGCCTTCTTTGAAATTATTTCTGATAATCCATAAGCAATACAACTGCGTTTTAGTTTCCAAACTCCAGAAGGAGACATTCCTCCAGTTTAGTTTCGCTTTCCACACGCGAAGCGGCAACATTTTTTCTTTACAATGTGTGTCTATGTGAGTCTCCTCCTTCGATTCTATTGGCTCTAACGGTCACAAGGGTATGTCAACCAACCAGATCGAGCAAGGGGGGCCAGAGATAGGTCAAATCCACCCAAATGACCCCAGATGGCCCAGTTTTTGGCTAAATCTCTCTAAAAAGGTCAAATTTCACTTGTTTTGCATCAATCTTGATACAGGGTACTTATTATATGTTGTACTTTGGATTCCTAAAGCTTTTAGTCTACTAACCCATCATCCAAGGGTAGTTTTCACTATCTGTAAAAAATTATTTTTGGACGGACACTATAATTTACAGTTTTTTACTATGTAAAATCTGAATTTTCTTTAAAATAAAAAACATTTATATTGATTCTGACACTTCTACATCCAACTCACAGGTTTATCATTACTTTGAGAAAAGATTATTAATTTAACCCTTTTAGAAGGGAAGATATGGTCATTTGTTCTGGGAATGTCATTTTCGAGCCTGAGACCTGAAAAACAGGCTCAGAGTGGAACAGGTTAACACACCTTTATTATCCTCCTGAGAGCAACTGCATCCGTCTGCCATGAACCCTACAGAAACCTACGTGTTAGTTTTGGCCCATAGTGGCCTCCATTTGTGTCGTGTAAAATGGGGGAAATAAAAAGTTAGCAAATCCCCATGTCCTCCTCAGAAGACATTAATAAAAACATTTAGTTTTAGGTCAAATAATTATTACACTGCTCTGAAACTCACTACACTAACTCCTAAGATGTTCCCTTACTATAGTTAATTAAAATATTGAACTGACAACACTGGTAATTACAAACTTAACCATTTCTCTTTCTATAAATAAATAGTGCTTGTGTTGATGGACGCCATTTTGAAATACAATGAAATTATCTTTTTCAAAGCCACATATTTGGGGTGGGACACAATAAATAAAGCTTCGCCAGTTTATAACCGATTAAACATAATGGTATCAGAATAATCACTTACATGTGATGTATAGGATGCTACACAGGTCACTGTAAAGATAAAGTGTCAGAGGAGAAATAAGCAAGATACAGGATCTGTTTAATCGCCATGTAGGTTCTCTTTTATTGCACACTCAAGACAATATCAATAACGGCATCACGCTGTCCCAGGTGTGTCGTATTCATCTAAATACAAGTTAAAAGTTTTAATGTAAATAGAAGTTAACATTTTCAATATAAAAGAAAGTGTCAGTAGTATTAAAACAATATATATATATATAACAATAATAGGTAGGCTCAGCAGCAGACACACCTTAGTGCAAAGTGAAGTGTCAGTATTAATAACAGTGGCATATATATAATCACAATAATACAAAATGAACTGTCCCAGGTGTAGGCAATTTGGGGTGAAGTGTCTTGCCCAGGGACACAACGACATGCTGACTGCAGTGGGGTTTGAACCTGTGCTCCCCTGATCCGAAAACCAACGAACCAATCCACTGCACCACACGTCTCCCAACAAGTCATTGTACAGTTTATCAACGACGACAAGTTTTTCTTTATTTTTTTATTGAAGGCCTGTTGGATTTAATCAGCTCGGTCTGTGTATGTTTTGGTCATTGGATTTTCTTTTCACAAATGGAAATTCAAAAACAAAAAACGACTGGATATTTGATTTTTGTTTTCAAATTGAAAAACCAAAATTGAAATACAAGGCGTTTTTCTTTATCACGGTCAAAAAGGGATTTACTAAACTTAAAAAACGGGATGATTTTCATTTTCTACTTCTCAAAACAAAAAATAAAATCACTAGAAAACAGAAACAAAAAAACCCCCCGTTTTTTTCATATTCTGCTACCGGAAGTTGTCTTTCAAAATAAGAGCGCATATGAGGACGGTCAATTTGTTTTCACAACGAAAACAGCCAAGACACATATTGAGCCCAGAAAATGAATGTTATTAAGGGCTGTAAATATAATAGGCCTATGTCTAAAATGGACAACATTGTTAGATTTAAACTATACAGCGATTCTGCATGCGGTCAGCTCAGCCGTCTCTCGAGTTTGTTATAATTTTTTCTGCCATTAGTTCTTCGTGAGATCGATCCTGTTGGACTCAGTAGGCTAGTAGTGAAACTACTCCCACAAGTACTATGAAGTACTTACTGTGTACTTTTTGAGTAATCCTCTGTCAATGTCCCCTCCTGAGAACAAGAATGCATGTTTCTCTGCTATTTTGAATCAGCGTTAAAACACCTTTCTTCATGAGACTGATATTGTTGGACAGAGTATTTTAAGAGGATATGGTAGACATGATATCAGCAATACTTCCAGTCAGAAGTCCGGCAGCAGCATTTTTACCCCTTGGAAAGTCTTGCCCGCTATTTAAATTGACTTTGATTGAAGTTAATAACAATATTGATATTATATAGATATATAGATATAGCATATTTGATGCAGTCTTTCTGAACACTTTCAAAATAAAATACTGCAAATTAAGAATATTTGTAATGTTCTGCACAGATAGTGCCTTAACTTGAATTTGAAAACACGTGGCAGCTTTATGACAGCAGATGAAAAGATTTGTGGAAGGATACATTCTTCATGGGCTTCAATGGCTCTCTAGATAAAGGGCGTTTTATGGTTGCTTGTATTATCCTCAGATAGGGGTTTGTTTAAATAACTAGTGACATTTTAATAAATATTGCAAAAAAGGGCTCCAAAAAAGGCATATATCCTGGCCGGCTTAGCCAGTGTGTATTTTTTCAAGCACCACAAGATTCATAGTTTATAAAGTACAATTCTGGGCCATTGATTGTGTCATTTCTCCAAACTCATACAGTAAAAATGGCTGTTTTTGAAGCCTTAAAATGGTGCAGGAAAAGGACTTTACATTGTATTATACTTAAAGACAGAACTATTCAGTTAAGAGAAGAGA